GTAGCATTAGACGGAGTCTACAACCCACACAAGTGGCTCAGGTAGTGCGGCTCATCCAGGATGGCACATCAATGCGAGCTGTGGCAAGAAAGTTTGCTGTGTATGTCAGCGTAGTGTCCAGAGCATGGAGGCGCTACCAGGAGACAGGCCAGTACATCAGGAGACGTGGAGGAGGCCGTAGGAGGGCAACATACCAGCAGCAGGACCGCTACCTCCGCCTTTGTGCAAGGAGGAACAGGAGGAGCACGAGGAGCACTGCCAGAGTCCTGCAAAATGACCTCCAGCAGGCCACAAATGTGCATGTGTCTGCTCAAACGGTCAGAAACAGACTCCATGAGGGTGGTATGAGGGCCGACGTCCACAGGTGGGGGTTGTGTTTACAGCCCAATACCGTGCAGGACGTTTGGCATTTGCCAAAGAACACCAAGATTGGCAAATTCGCCACTGGCGCCCTGTGCTCTTCACAGATGAAAGCAGGTTCACACTGAGCACACGTGACAGACGTGACAGAGTCTGGAGACACCGTAGAGAATGTTCTGCTGCCTGCAACATCCTCCAGCATGACCGGTTTGGCAGTGGGCCAGTAATGGTGTGGGGTGGCATTTCTTTGGGGGGGCGGCACAGCACTCCATGTGCTCGCCAGAGGTAGCCTGACTGCCATTAGGTACCGAGATGAGATCCTCAGACCCATTGTGAAATCATGCTGGTGCGGTTGGCCCTGGGTTCCTCCTAATGCAAGACAATGCCAGACCTCATGTGGCCGGAGTGTGTCAGCAGTTCCTGCAAGGCGAAGGCATTGATGCTATGGACTGGCCCGCCTGCTCCCTAGACCTGAATCCAATTGAGCACATCTGGGACATCATGTCTCGCTCCATCCACCAATGTCACGTTGCACCACAGACTGTCCATAAGTTGGCAGATGCTTTAGTCCAGGTCTGGGAGGAGATTCCTCAGGAGACTATCCGCCACCTCATCAGGAGCATGCACAGGCATTGTAGGGAGGTCATACAGGCACGTGGAGGCCACACACACTACTGAGCCTCATTTTGACTTGTTTTAAAGACATTACATCAAAGTTGGATCAGCCTGTAGTGTTTTTCCACTTTAATTTTTAGTGTGACACCAAATCCAACCCTCTATGGGTTGAAAAAGTTGATTTCCATTTTTTTATTTTTGTGGGATTTTGTTGTCAGCACATTCAAAGAAAAAAGTATTTCAGAAGAATATTTAATTCATTCAGATCTAGGATGTTATTTTTGAGTTCCTTTTATTTTTTTGAGCATTGTACAATATATATATATATATCTATCTCTATATCTATATCTCTATATACACACACACACACATAATACGTGTGTGTGTATATATATAGAGAGAGAGAGAGAGAGAGAGAGACATACATATGTAAAGGCTTGCCTGGAGTTGTGGGAGGGGCTTGTTGATCCTACTTAAGCGCTCCCCCCTTTACTTGCATCACCGTGGATACTGACGTTCGGCAGGTGATCACTTCCGGTTTCGCTACTTCTGGGTCACGATCATGTGACTTCCGGTTCGCGGTCTGGGCGCTCACGGTCAGCAAATGAGCTGCTGATTTCCCACACGCTTGGGGGTGCAAAAATCGTGAGTTTTCACATGGTCCCGGTCCCCTCACCCCTCTGCTAATGGTTCGCTATGGGGGGTGGGGGGGGAGGGTGCCGGAAGTCTTACACACATATGCAGCAGTCAGAGACCACCCAAGGTCTCCTCATTTGCCGACCGTTTTGTCTACTTCTCCTACATGGAAGAAACTCCAGTTACTTCAGCGACATGCATAAAATGGCTGTACATATTATGTTGTTTAATACTACTGTGTGCAAATACTGGGGTACTGACTATTGTATTACAATACTACTGGATTCACGTGCACTGTGATCAATTTATCTCAATATTATCTACTGATAAACTATTCCATATGGCTAACGATTTTTCTATTACTCAGACATTTACTGGGCATTCTGCCCTCTTTGCACATATTTTATCATGGCGCAGGCTCAGCACATATACACTACTTTTTGGGGCATTTTACACTAATTGTCAGATATGACAATTCAAGTTTTATGATATTGACATACTACTTTTATCTTCCCCTTTCTTTCTATAGATATCTTATGTTTATTGATGTTGGTTACACAATTAGATATATATATATATATAAATTTCATGTTGGTAGCCCTGGGCTTTTTATTGAGTTTAAGTATATACATATGTATGGTCTGTCTGCATAAGATATGGATCAGCTTCAAGGTTTAAGGGGTGTATGTTTACTAAAGCTCTTATTGGCTACAAAATACTCTCGTCAGTTTCATATTGCGCTATTCGCCACTAGTATGTCAGAGACCCCCTTATTTATTTCTCTATGCTTACTTTTCAGGTTCAAGTTGACTTATATCAACTGCGTTGTTGTTCAATCAAATCTCTATATAGCACTTTCCAGTGAGTAAGGGGTTACTCTCGGCGTTAAAGGGATAGTCCTTTTGTTACTCTGTATAACATATACTCCTCTTTTACTATCAGGTTTAAATCGCTCTTCCACTATAATAGTGGTGGAAGTCTCAGGTTTCTGTGTTGGGTTGTGACCAATTTCTGACCTAACCACCACGCAAGTGGGTCTCAGGTATGTTTTGCCTAAACGCCCCCCAACTACCTCTCCCCTCCCCCTTAAAGGATATTCTGAGTGTTACTTATCTAGGATAGGCGGCCACTAGTAAAAAAAATATTCTGGCTTCTTCGCCTTAGTCTCAGTAGTCCAGTGAGGCCAACCCATTTCCTCCACACTAGAGGATATATGCCCCTCGGGCCAAATCATAGTTAGCCGCCTCGCACGGTCGCATAGAGAGGGCTTCACTTGTCTTTTCTATTTATGCTTTTAGTTGTCATCGAGAGGCCAACACCCTGCCACAATGTTTCGAAAGGCGACATCAGGAGTCTAACTTCTATAAGGTCATGATCCATCCCTCGCATTACAGCAGAACTTCGTAGACGCAGTATTCCTTTTCCTGCCATGGCCAGGAAAGCAGAGCTGTTCAAGCTAATGCGGACTAATACCGATAACTCAGGGGCGGGAGAGGGGACCAGTGGTCCAGGCAACTCCCCCATTGTACAGCGCTACAGAATTTGTTGGCGCTATATAAATAATAAAATAATAATAATAATAATCTCAGACCTTCATGCCATGGTTGCCTCACTAGTAGCATATGTGGGCAAGGGCAACAATAAGACTTGATAGGATCAAGGCTCGGAGCCCTCCTGTTATGTCTTCTATGCCCTCGGCTACTGTACTTCCCAATGCTCCACTGTTGCAAACGGGTAATTACGTACCTTCTGGTTCTGAAACCCACATTATCAATTCAGTGCATATGGTTCCAGCAAACATTAAGAAAGACATCTTGGAGGGGAAAGATGTTAATCTTGTTGCACTACTTATTGCTTCACACGATGTTATCGAGAATCGCACTTATGCTTCTGGTGATATTTAGGTGGTGTTAAAGGCCAGGGACTCTAAACTTAATAAGAAACTGTCTATACCTGATTTTGTGATAGCATTTGGGATGTAATTTGTTCAGTTTACCCACATAGACGAGAGAAACTCGACCTCTATAAGCACAAGACTTGGGAAATAAATACAGTGGGTCATCCTTTTATGATTACCACCGGTCCTTTTCGGCGAGGGCACCTGCAATTTTGGCTCTGTATAACGTTAAAACTGACTGGAGCCGTATGGATACTGAGCTATTTTGCAGACACTTTGCTGGTCTCACATGCCTCAGACTATTGTCCATCATGCCAGAGTCCACACCCAGGACTTTCCATGAGCCACAGACTAGGATGGACAGATCAGGCAAGGACAAACTCGGTCGTCCGATTCTTTACCTTGCGAAGTCGCAGATGTGTAACAACTTTATTGTAGGTACATGTGGTTATAGTGCCTGCAGATTGTTACATGGGTGTTCACATTGTTTTAGGGCTCATGCCAAATCCATGTGTCCGAATAAAAAAGTAATGCTAGACCGTATTTGACATCCATAAACATTGGTTCTTTGGCTCACGCATTAGCCTCTTACCCATCCAAATATCTAGTGGATTTCTTGATTGATGGTTTCACGGAGGGATTTCATACAGGTTTGGTACATATCCCTGCTGGCATTTACAAATGCAACAATTTGCAATCAGCATTTTCTGACATGGAAATGGTTGATGCTCTTTTACAAAGAGAATTGGAAGATGGGTTCTTGTTGGGACCTTTTCAGGCGCCCCCATTTTCCAATTGGAGAACCAACCCTATAGGATTAGTCACCGGGAAATCCTCAGGGAAACACAGACTCATTTTGGACCTATCCGCACCTCACCTCGCCGTAATTCTCTAATTCCATCCGAGGAATGTTCCCTTCAGTACGCCACCATAGACAACGCAATACACACAGACAGACATCATTAATTCATTCAAATTACTACCCATATGCCCTTCGCTATGGCATCTGCATGGTCTGAAATGGAAAGGTTTCTATTATTTTTTCACAAGGCTCACGTTCGGGTCAAAAAGCAGCCCAAAAATATTTGATACCTTTGCCGAAACCTTATGTTGGCTCCTGTTAAACAATTGCAGATGCTATGCAGTAATACATTATCTAGACGACTTTCTGTTTGTAGAGAATAATTCCTCTCCTCCCGGTGATCTAACTACGACCATCTCGTTTTTTCAGTCCTTGGGGGTGCCAGTTTCTCCCAAGAAAACAGAAGGCCCTGACACGTTAGTTAATTTCTTGGGTATCCTGCTTAATTCAGTGAGCAT